AATTCCTTGCATTGGCTTTCAAAAAGGTACCATGCCCCTCTGTTTTGAACAGGTCAAGTTTATCCCTCAAGGCACATTTGAACGTAAATGTGAGTCACTGGCGGCATGTTGTCATTTTGGAACATGTTCTAAATAGAATTGTGGGTCAAGTGACACTTAATTTTTTAGTTCCTTATATGAAGATTTTTTAACCCCAAATGATGAATTGACTGGCTTTAAAAATGGTAGACTGTTAGATTGACAAAGTTCAACGTTTTTGTACATTGAATCTCTTCTCAACAATTATCGAGGATCTCTTTTTAAGTCAGAGAGTCGTTTTGCAATAGATTTAGGCAAATTTTATTTATAAACAAAAATCACAAAATAAGATATGAACATTTTTTCATTTTTCAGCATAGTCACCATAAACATTTAAGTCGTGGCACCATCTTTTGAACGCTGCAGTCTGACCGTTAAACAAGTTAGTAAATGTTAAGTGTCGGAAAAAGATAAAGCGCTCTATGGTGGACGATCTTTACAACTTGTCCAGTTGCGTCTGTGTTCTTGCCGCAACGTGAGGCCGAGGGTTGAAACAGAACGACGCCGCTAGAGAGCAACCCCCGCCGTGGGTGTGAATACCGTGTCTAATTCAACAATATCGTGATGAATTTCAGCAGGTGGAACCTATTTCCGTTTAAAAACTGAATTACTGAGCGCACTTCACAATCAATGGCGGCGAAGTGACAGACTGGCCAAGAGCGTCTGAGGTTGGAGAGACGTCAGGTGACAGGACACGCGCGCACATGCGCAATCGGTTCTTACTTTAAATATTGCCCTCGTATACCTCATATTACTGACGCCCTGGCTACACGGTCCATAGTTGTACCGAGTCGACCCACCGAGACCCTGTTGCCCACATTATATGGTCATGAATATAGAATACATAAATCTAATCCTCATCGAGCAAAGACGCCATGACAGGTTCTACCGCGGCAACAGCCCGTCTTTGAGGCTTTCAAATGCTTTAAACAAATTAGGTCATCCCATATCGAACCTTGCTCTAAGGTGAGCGTCGGGGAATGTTATAAAGAGAAAGAGGAAGCTCTAACTATAATTGCTTCTAAGCAAATGTATTCTTTTCATTAACGCTCTTTGCAATATTCAAATGGGTCGATAAGCTCAACAGCCTCTCTGACAATTTTCAACATTAATTATTTCTTTGGAAGTCCGATTCATAGTGCCAGTACAGTTAATTCAAAAATGCAAATGTTATGCTATGACTCAAACTGAATGTTATCCGGGACGATGTCCTCAATGTCTGCCTATAAAAATCGTGTCGTTGAATGAAACGTTTTCTGAGTCAACTGAACATGTTACATTTGTTCATTCTACAGAGCGGGGTCGTGGCAAATGCTTGTTCCGCAAGTTGTTGTATCCAGTATACAACTTCTTCCCGTTCAAGTCATTGTACACGCGTTAAGGAATACCTCAGTACCGATGTCTACTCAACATTATTAACATTCAAGAAGAAGGTGGTAGACAAGGACCAGTCGACCGAGGTGGTACCACCCGCTAGCTTTTCATAGGGTGTCTTAAAAATGTCCTCACCTAAGCTATGTAGTCGGTTAATTTCCAAAACAAAGAAATTAATGATGATGGATCCCTCGAGCACTAAGAACTCCGGACGTAACCTCACTCCACTCTAGGAATGTCCGGGTGGAGGGTGGGCTCGAGGGAACAATATCGAAGATGAAATTTGTTTTACGAACATCTGCGGGATTAACAGCAACATTGATGCTGTTCATCACTACCTGCAATCCAATAGTCCCGCCATGCTCATCTTGCGGGAGGCAAAAATCTCAGATTCTGCACCGATTGACCATCTTAACTTCCCAAACTACGAGGTGCACTCTAATCTGAGAAAGAACGGGACAGTTGTGGCTTTTGTCCGCAGCAGTCTTCCCTGCTCCAGATATGTTTCTTTGAAATCAAACCTGAAGGACATTCTGTGGCTTCGCCTCAACTCCAAAACATCACCCAAATTAATTTGCTGCCTTTATCGCTCTCCCTCGGACCATGACTGGGATGACCTACTTGGATACCTCGCCGTCAAGGTCGACTTCCCGAACATCAATCACCCCGCTTCAGAGGTAGTTCTTCTCTGTGATTTCAATGCCCATAATGAGCTTTAGTTCGGCTCAAACAAGACCGATGCAGCTGTTCGTGCAGTCGAAGCGTTCGCTCTTACTCAAGGGCTGACCCAGCTGGTGACGAGCCCTACTTTTTCCCCCGCGTCTCGTCACACGCCAGTAGTCTGCTGGATCTCTTTCAGACCACGCATCCTGTCCCTAACAGCACTGCATCCTGTCCCCCTGGGTAACTCAGACCACGGTGTTGTGGAGGTTAGGTTTCGGTCAGAACCCACTGTGGCAGCAGAAATTCGTACAGGCCGCAAAACTTGGCATTCTGGACGCTGGCCAAGCAGATTGAAAAGAACTTCTTACACAGTAGCCTTCACCACTTACGTTTCAGGATGGAACGATTGTATCCGGCTCAAAGGCCAATACAGAAGTGCTTGCCAAGATCTTTGCTGCCAACTCCACCATGGATGTCCCTCCCCAACGTCCAAGTGCCGTCAATTCAAAGGGTTCCCTACACTATGCGGGAGGTAACATTCAGGCATAAAACCGTAAGGCGAGTGCTCTTGTCGTACGACATCAACAAAGCTTCAGGTCCGGACTTGATTCCTGCCATGATACTGAAGAAGTGTGCAGAGGACCTTGCTCCAGTTCTTTCGCGTCTCTTCCAGATCTTATGAATCCGACAGCTTCCCAGAAAACTGGAAATTTGCTCATGTGCAACCCATCCCAAAAAAAGGATACAAGACCGACCCTTACAACTACAGGCCTATAGCTCTGCTTTCTGTTATAAGTAAACTAATGGAGAGGCATAAATCGCGAGCTTCTGAACTACCTCGAACGTCTCGGCTTGACTACCGAGAGGCAGTATGGTTTCCAGCACCAGCGATCCACAGGGGACTTCCTAGCTTACGTCACGTAATTGTGGCGTAAACTCGTCCAGTCTTATGGTAAGGCTCATACCATTGCTCTTGACATCGCCAAAGCGTTTGATCATCTGTGGTACGCGGCCCTCCTATGCAAACTTCCATCCTATGGCCTCCCAGCGAAGCTTGGCAGACGGGTGGCTGACTTCATCTCTGGCCGCAGGATATCCGTCGTAATTGACGGGTTCTTCTGTTCATCCCACAACGTCAACGCGGGTGTTCCCCAGGGATCGGTCTATTCTCCGAAACTGTTTCTCTTACATGTCAGCGACCTTCTTTCCTGCACGATCAACAGAATCCACAGCACTCTACATGCAGGAATTCAGAGTGACAAGCCGATCTCTGCGGCTGAGCTGGAAAAAAGAAGACTAGCGACGACTTCCTCTCTGACAAGAGACCTGGAGGCTATCACTACTTGGGGACCCAACAATCTTGTACAGTTCAATGTTTCCAAAACACAGTACTGTACTTTGACGAACAAAAAACGTCCTAGCGCTTATCCGATCGATGTATGACCGAGTTCTGCCACAGAGCCATTCATTTCGGCTGGTCGGAGTCCAGATCACCGAGGACCTGATCTGGCACGAACACGTCTTGTCAATAGCTGCAGCTGCTGGAAAAAGCTATTTGTTTAGGGCAAAGAAGTACTCCGCACGACCTTCTCATTCTATACAAGGCCCAGATAAAGCCTAGCCTCGAGTATTGCTCACACGTTTGGGGTGCTCCCCTACATTATCCACGATCGATGCTGTCCAGAGGAGGGCAGTCCGACTGATCGATGACTCTTCTCTTAACAGACAGTCTCGAGACTCTTTTGCTCCTCTGTTCCATGATGCCGCCGCGCGATGTGTCTGCCAGACAGACCCGCCTGACTTTGGCGTCCCATCCTAACCGTGTCGAACTTTGTCCCGAGGGTGTCGAGATTGTGGAACAATCTACAAGAGGGTCGAGATTGTGGATCATCAATAGCAGCCGCGGTGTTTCCGACATTTAGGCTTCTGCCTGAGCGGCTGCTTCGATATATAAAAAAAATCCGACCGAGACAGCCAACTATGCACAGCTGTTTTGTATCTTCTGGAAACTCATCAGCATGGTCTACGCTTGGTATCTAGGATATCGAGCGAAAGCATAGCAACTACCCTCTATCCAAGGTTTGAGAACTATCGAAATAAGTTAGCCCAAAGTTACTATCTATTACCAGAATCATCTAATGCGAGATATAGTGATAGCTTCTATTCTCTCTCGTAGTGGCCTGTTCTGATAATAGATGGCGCTTTGCGCAGCAATATTTTGATAAATCCTATATTTTGGAGGACAGGTAATTATAATAATAGACGTCTTTATTTATCTACAATTTCAATGTAGTATAGCCAAATGTGAGACTCATATGGCTAAGATTAGCATGCAGCTACTCTTACTCTCAGGCATATAGTTGCTAGTAGATGTTCACAACAATCAACTATTCACAAATATATTCAGTAACATCAAAAGCAAAAAGTAGAAAAGAAAAAAGATACTTTTCAAACCGAAATACACCAAAAATTATGAACCTGAATAAATCATTGATCAATGGTGAGTAGACAATCTATCTATACAGCCAAAATCGTCAGCCATCTCGCGGTAGACAGTAGCGACTGGACTGGAATATTTACAGTTCCAACCGATAGCTGCTTTACAATCTCGCAGTAGTCGATTCTAGTAATTTATGGTGCCTGGCGTTGTCTTATTTCATAGTTTCAAATTAATTTCAAACATAATATACCACAAACGCGTGACACCGTCACGTCTAATGCCCGATCTCCAATCAATCTTGTCAGTTAAATAAAACTTACAATGTTTTTTCTTGTAGCGACCAATTAGTAAGATACATTATAGTTCAAAACACAACTAAAACGATAGTCGACAGCTATTGAAGAAACTTGTAACATCTGTGAAAAATAAAAAATTATAGAATTACCTTAAAATCAATATAACCGTTTTTGTCCATGTCAAATGTTCTAAAGACATGGTCGCAGAATTCTTCTGCGTTGCCGCTAGGGAAGAACATCTTGTACATATCTACGAATTTTGCCGGCGTCAGTCGACCATTTGGACAGTCTTGCTGCAATAAAAAGAAACAAAAATTAATCGCAAAAAATCTTAATAATTGGGTTTGAAAAGCACAAAGTAAATCTACACTTCTACATCTTACGTGTATTATATAATACATTCATTTTTGTACCCTGAATTGGCAACCAAAAACATCAGTGAAGCTGAAAAGTTTTGGTGCGTTAGAAGCGCAAAGTATTAGTTTGCTTCTCTGGAGAGACATTCTTTGCATTAGAGTTATTTGTGGGGATTGATTAACGTATTCAACCAAAAAGATATCTAATAGATATCTGCCCGACTCCAAAAAATATCCGAGATGAAATGAGATATCGTAGTGGCATCTATGACAATTTGACACAGCTATGTTTCTCCTCTACGCACTAATTATAAATCTACTTTGAAATGGTTAGTTTCTCATAGATGGCGCTGTATCCAACTATATTGAAATATGGCATATATTTAGATATAGCACCATCTATGAAACACTAATCTTTTGAAACTAGATTTTAATTATGGTGGACAGGAGAAACGTAGCTGTGTCAAATTGTCACATTTAGATTTTATCTCTTATAATTCTTTAGACGACGACATGTAACTACTTAGTTCGCTGCCTTCAGGTAGAATACGTCAATCAATGCTGTTGGTTACAAATTCTTAGAACGAGTGTAGCCATTTGCGCATCAAGGGCGCAAAGTTCTACTATGCCGCACAATAAATAGCTACATCCAATTCAAGTAATGCAAAACAGACCGTAACAATATTTTAAAAATAACGTAGTTTGTTGTCGAATCCCACATACCTAATATATTGCTTTACTAACGCGGCAATTTACCTTTTCGTCATAGGTCCGATCGCAACCAGTAACGAATATTTTTGCTACTATTTTGTCGCTTTCGAGCGGCAAAGCTGTTATTTGTGATCGGTCCTTGGGAAACGGTAATTTTACGTGCTAGACCGAGAAAAATAAACTAACCTTTTAATGCGACTACAAAATACGTCCCTTTCACGGAACGTGGAAGTTGTCTATTATTTAGCCACAATCCTATATGAACGATCGACTGTTGAGCATTCATGTCACGAATCGTTTCCAATACCGGCCGCGGTCGCCGATGTCGCGACAAGCATATAGACTAATCGATTGCAAATAACATTCCCGTTATTTACATTCATGAAAAAACAACATGTCCTCTCTCTCTCTCTCTCTTAAGAAGCCATGAGGATATTTATGTACACAGTCATATTCCCGTAATTTCTGTGTGTCATAATTATACTATCGAAATTATTATCAGCAATAAAATGATGTTGATCGAGCTCACTAGTAAACTCTTCGTATTCGTATTATTTTCTTTTGCTGGGAATTTTCCTTCAACTTTAGTAGATCAAGTAAAAAACTCAATAAAGTATGGTACCCAAAGAAATAATAATAATCTGAGTGAAAAAAACATTTTTTGTAACACTGAAATGTACACGCATGTAATGTTCAAATTAAGGACACGAAGACAATAAAGGATTGATACATTGAGTAGAAAAGGCAAAAAAGATTTAAGGATAAGATATTTTGAACAAATTATATAAGAATACCGAATTGTTAAACGATACGTTCTAAGAGTTAACGTTTTTGGAATCGTAGACAATGGCAGACAGTAAGAATCGGAATATGAGCAGGGGAATTTGGATTTACCCAAGAACCGCCATAAAAGCTTTTCTGCGATGTTATCGTGGGGACCGTGACCCCACTGGTGACCTGGTTAAGTCTTAAAATTTGCATATTTAGCATGATTTTCTGTATACTTTTGAGAATTTTTAGGATTTGACACTACACCCCCCTAACCCCCGGGGGAAAGTTCTCCGCTCTGCAAAGATTTTTGGGGTCAACTACAATTTCACAAAAAGTTATCTTGCTGATGACAAAATTATCTGCGGGCGCCCATGGATGTATAATTCAGTTCAGATAACAGCTTCATACTTGGAGAAGGAACGACGCAGATTTTAGATTGTGTTCTGTTGATTGCAGTAGCAGTTCAAGTTGGTAATTAAATCTGACTCAAATTAACGCATTCAGGCTGGGTAGAAGCAAGCTCACGATTTGTTTGTCGCCAAAATAACGTAGTCAGTAGTCAGGATGCAAATTCATACAACAAGTCGATCAGGCTTAAGTCGACTGTTTGACAGTTTTTGACATTTCACAATAAATTCGTCCTTTTCTGAGAAAATATGTAAAAGCTCGTGGATTCCATACAATTCTAGTGTTCTATACTATTGCTGAAAATGGTGAAGGATTCTGTGAATGACAAGAAGTAGTATGAAGTGAATAAAACCAAATATTTTATCGATAAGTAGTAACGGGTGATTTTTTAAGAGGTATAGGATTTGATTTTCAAAAAAAAAAACACAAACACGATTAAATCTTTATTTGAGTCGATAGAACGGTCGATATAATTTAATGTTTAAAGATTATTTCATGTAAATGTTGGCCGCGGCTCCGCTTTAGATGGCCCATGCGCAAAGTCCAATTTTGGCACACTCTCTCCAACATATCGGCCGGTATCTCACGAATAAATGCTTCAATATTGGCTTCCAGTGCGTCAATCGCTGCTGGTTTATCCCTGTAGACGTTAGAATTAACATGGCCCCACAAGAAATAGTCCAACGGCGTTAAATCACACGATCTAGGCGGCCAATTGACGGGCCCCAAACGTGAGATAAACTGTTCACCGAACTCGCCTCCCAATAGGGCCATTGTTTCGTGTGCGGTGTGGCATGTGGCACCGTCTTGTTGAAACCACATGTCAGCCAAGTCCAGCTCTTCCATTTTGGGCAAAAAAAAGTTTGTTATCATCGCACGGTAGCGCTCGCCATTCACAGTTACGTTCCGGCCATTGTCGTCTTTGAAGAAGTACGGCCCGATGATGCCACCGGCCCATAATCCACACCAAACAGTGATTTTTTCGGGATGCATTGGTAGTTCTTGCTTCCCATCATGTCACAGGCATATTCGATGGGGCAAAGGTCTGGAGGTCGAGGAGGCCACTGAAGCAGATTTATTCCGGACGCTTGTAAAAAGTCTAAACTAAAACGTGCGACATGAGGTCGGTCGTGCATGTTCCTGGAAAAAAATTGGATCTTGCAATGTTTCCAAAAAGGGAAGCAGATGTGGTTGTAAAACTTGGATATAGCGCTGGGCAGTCATGCTACCTCAAATGAACACTAATCATGACCTGCTGCCATAAGCCGTGGCACCTCATACCATAACACCCACAGTGCGATGAATATGCTGATCGATGGAATATTGTCTTTCACCGCGTCTCCTCCTTACTCTTGCATCACTGAACACGGCTGAGTTCCATTCCATATTCTATTCAAGTCTCTCCATACTCCATAACAAGCGTTGCCGACGATGCTGTGGGATCAGAGGTAGTACAAGATGGGGATGGTATTAAAACAGTCCAAAATACCTTGTACGGCGATAAACTGTCCTGATTGTTATTGCCCTTCCGACAACATCAAACCACTGATTCGCTACTGCCCTTGTAGAAAATCGATCATTAAGTGCTAGTTGTCTCAAATAACGATCCTGTCGCTCTGTAGTCTGTACTTGACGGCCTGTAGCTCTAACTCGTCGATTTCGGCCTTCTTGAAACCACGCTCGACAACATCCCCTTTCAGTAGCTTCATTTCGATTTACCCGATTAGCGACTTTTCTAAAAGAATGTAACCCGATTATCCGATCCCTCTCAAACTCGGAAAGTTAAGTAAAATTAGCGTGCCTGCGAACTCTAGGCATGATAATGACAACAAAACAAATAATGGAACCAACACAGAAAAATCACTGAATGTTAAATAAACATGTTCATATTGTTCGGATCCTGATATGACAAGAAAAGCCTTTACAAAAAAAGTACGGCCCGGAATGCCGTCAACATTTTATCATCTTATACTTTCATGATAGCAAATATGTTTACAAGTGTTTATCAACATCCAATAAATAATTCTGGGTGTTGCATTTTATATATCACTTAGTATAATTATAATAATATACTCAGTGAAATTAGAAGTGTTACATCCAGAAGAAATGATTTCTTCAACTTGTTTTTAGACAACATAATGACTATATTTAAGGCATGCTGTGGCAACAATATCAACGTTTTATATTTGTTTTTTATCTCCTAGTGTTTGTGACAAAACCACTTTCTGAGAGCAGAGTAGCACAGATATTTTTAGTTCTTGCCCTTTCATTTGCTAGTGTTAAGCATAACAAAATGCCTCGAGTTCGAAGACGTCCAAATTATCAGCATGTTAGCAACTTCGACAGAGGTATAATTATTACCTATCGAGATGTTGGTTTGTCCTATCGCGAAATTGGCCGCCGTGTTAATTGTACTGCAATGACGGTAATGCGTGTGTGTCGTGTGTGGATAGAAGAAGGTAGAGGAACACGAAGAAGACCAATTGGTCCACGGGGCGTACCACAGGGCCTCAGACAACTGGCCCTACGACACCGTTTTCTGACCAACGGTTTGGAGAAGGTAGACCTGTTACGATGCGTACACTCTATCGCCGCATTCGAGCCTTTGAACTTTCTTCATACTGTCCATGGTTAGTACTTCCTCTGACTGCGGACTACTGTCGTCACTGTTTGAACTGGAGCAGAGAACAGCAACATTAGAAGGCAGAATGGCTCAATGTCATCTTCAGCAACGAATCGCCGTTCTGTTTAGGTACGCACGATGGTCGTAGAAGGGTAAGACAAAGCCATGGAGAGCGGCGTAATATTGTATATGCTGTTGAGAGGCATGTACGCAGGACTGTTGGAGTAATGGTTGGAGGGCTACTGATTGAGGTCAACCGACACTTCAGTCTAACTAAACTGAACTAAAATTTACCTTATGTACTTTAAGTTTGAATAAAAGTTTCACAAGATTCTGATTCTATGGAGGAAGCTCAGTACGCCGAAAAAAACACCAAGAATAAAAAAACGTGTTTTTTGGGATTCAATCGAAAGTGTTGACAGGA